ATTCCAAGGCCTTACTATCATATTATTACTATGGAGGAATGATTTATGCAGCATTAAAGAACTATGACAGAGCACTGTACTTCTTTGAAGTGGTAAGATATTGTTCATATCTTAAGAACATCCTCCCCTTCTCTATCAGATTGCAAATCTGATAGTATCTGATAGTCACATTTTACAAAACAATATTAAATTAAATTAATATTGATATTAATATTATTAATATTGCAACTGATATAAATGCCTGCATTTGACAATCCTACTCACTTGTCATTCTGGGTTGCAAATCTTGCTAAGATATTTTTAGTTCTTTCTATATAAAAGTCCCTGCCAGTCATTCAAGAAAAACAAGCAATAAATGTATACAAATTTATTCACTGATTGTGTTTGATTTTAAGGCTGTAACATGTCCAGCAATGGATGTAAGTCACATTATGTTAGAATCCTACAAGAAATTCATAYTGGTTTCCTTAATACTTAATGGAAAGGTAAATACTTGAAATATACTGGAATAACTGATAATCTGCCACAAGAAGGAGCAAAACTTAGATAGCTAACTTAACAACAAAAAGTGCAAGTGATATGCTGTTTTTGTCTGACATAATATCAGTTCTTCATGCACCTTTTGATTTTTGTGATGCATACATGGCATTATTTATAAATAATATTGGAGTGGATAATCAATTGAGTTTTTTTCCAAGAAAAATGTACGATTTATAACCTTAGGTTATTGAACAGGTGATCTCTAACATCATTTTCCTTCGCATTTTATTGTTTTTCAACTTATGCAAAACTAAGGATAGGTACATGTATTACTGCATAGCATTTGTTACTGTAACACAATGAGCTGTCCACTTTTGTAATGGTAATGGAAGCTAAGGAAAAGCTACCCTTAATTATTATTAACTGTCCTTGTGTCAATATTCTATTTACAACTGTATGGCTATAGCTAATGTTACTTTGTTTGATTTATTAATAGATTAGTGGTTTACCAAAATACACTTCAAATGTGGTGCAGCGATTTCTCAAGGTAACTACAGCAATATGTATTCCATAACATGCACTCTTCAGTATGTAGTCCAGACAACTACATTACGAGCTGTAAGATATGGGTTGCTTATTGGGGAACTAACAAGGGAAAATCTTGGGGGTGGGGGTAGGAGGAAAAGCCTGCAGCTTTCCCTTATTTCCAGGAAAAACATTTTACAGGAAGAAGATAGACCATGAGGAAAAGAATAAACAAGCACAATTTTTGCTACAAAACAATTGTACACCAATCAATTTATGTACACTGTTTCAGCCTTTGAGTAGTCCATATCATGAACTTGCAAATACATATGCTTCAAATAACCCAAGTGATTTACAAGCAACTATTGCAAAACACCAGGAAACGTTTGCCAGGGTAAGCATCAGGACCATCTTGGTTTAGTTATTTTGCTCCATTATTGTCGGGCTGTTTGTGTTAATTGAAAAGAAACATTACCTGTACTTGTAATAGCCTCCTTCACGGTTACATGCGGCATCTTGAAAGGTAGCCGTGCCTTTAGATTGAAGCAGACAACCGTTGAGYGTGCAATGATAGATACCTGTGAATAATTGTCTGTAGTTGTTATCATTGCACGCTTAAAGGGACACTGTCAATGGATGACATGCACAGTAACAGTCTCACCTCTAATGGACTTTGAAAGTATWACCTTCGAGGTAAATCATTTTGTGGTGCTTTTGACACACTTTGGAATATTCTAGATCTGTTTACGTTTACGAGGTGATTTATGTCGGGCCAACTTGGAGTCATAAACTTGAAAACACTAGCCTAGTGTTTTCGAGTTTACTCGCGCATCCGTGCCATTGACAGTGTCCCTTTAACAGTCGTCTCACTTCGAAGCAAAGGCACAGCTACCTTTCAAGATGGCACAGGGAACAGTTAAGAAGCCTATTCATACTCATGTCTCTATTAGGACAATAATGTTGGTTTGGTCAAACAAGTCAGAAGTTCAATTTACAAAAAGAACATTTTGAGATTGACAAAGGTAAGTATTATKAAAGTGACCTGAAAAGGACTGGAACCTATAGACTGTTTGGTTAAAATGTAGATTCTTTTATTTTAGACATTTTTGACTCTCTCACTGACTGATATGGCAAACAGGGTGCAGCTGAATAGCCCACGAGAAGCAGAACAACACATTTTACACATGGTAGGTGGCAAAATGGCATTGGGAAAATGCATCATGGGATTGACTTTTCGTCTATGTTAATCCCATGATGCACTTCAAAACACGTATGACGTCATTAATGGAAAATAACATTTGAAATGACCAAATACCTGCTTATATATTGATTGTTTACATAAATCTGTATGAATCGGGCTTATATTATTAGATCGAGGATGGTGATATATACGCCACAATAAATCAACGTGATGGTATGGTATCCTTCCACGACAGCCCAGAAAAATATAATAGTCCCAATATGCTCAAGAAACTCGATGAAGAGGTAAACGCCCAAAAGCGAGACAATCATTTGTTAAAGGGTCACTTACATCCCAAAGCCTTTGCGATCGCTTGTTAGGTTTTGAGTGTTTTTCTGAATTGCAAAGCACGCACGATGGTCATCCTCCGCAAAAAAGTAGGCCAGAAAGTTAARACAATGCAAGGTGGAAACGATCTACATGTACTTAAACCTGRTCCCCAAGATGGCGATTTTCCGTATGTTCTGTATGCGCAAAGGTTCAATATATTTGCTTGAAAAATCTCATGGTGCATTTTCATTTACATCTTATAAGATCCGGCAATATCAACATCTTGATGAAAAACTTCAAACTATGGACAGGCARCTTGCGGTAAATCCACAGTTTGTGCAAAAGGTGAGTATTCAAAGAGTATCCCATTCATCATACTCCGAAATTYTGTAGCCTCTRCTAYAGACGTTTTGAAGTAGACGGAACTTTTAAAACCGTCTGCAACAGAGGCATGTTAACCGATAACTTTCTTGCTTGTTTTCTCTTCTAGACAATGGGTAGTCATGGTGATGAAGATGGTGGTATTGGTCGAATGAGAGAAGATGTTATGATGTAATATAAAGCTATTTCCTGGTTTAGACAAAAGTATTATATTGCCTGGTCTAGACAGATTAAAGGACGATTTATGTATGTAAACTTGAGGTACTATCAAGGAGAGTACAATGCAAGTATGATTCTCACCAGTTAAGTTTATGAGCACTGTTAGGCAGAGAAGGAAGTCGGTTACGATCATTTGATAATTATTGTGAACCGGAAAGTTTACTTGAAGGTATGAAATGCCAAAAAAAACAATAAAGAAAGATTAACTGTAAAAACAAATTAATGGTGGCTAGCGACCCCACTTTAGGGAAATATAGACATGATATACATGAATAACAGAAAAAAAATAACTAAAAAAAGAAGAAGAAGAAGACACAAAAACAAAGAGATTTCATTTTTTCCGCATTCCTATCAAAATTGAATTGAATTTATTGCTTTTGCTTGAATTAGTCGCCCCTCTTGCTTTATATGGTTCGCTTTATATCCGCCACTGTGTAGGTCATCGGTTTCTTGCTTATATTATGAAAAAAAAACCCCGATATTATTAGATAATAATGCTGTCTTTCCGTGCAGACTGTTATTTATCTTGCTCCATATGTCATACTGGGTAAAAGRCTTTTCATCCATGCTTGCATACAGTGTAGCCTCCGTAGCAGACGTTCCAAGCGCCGCTTGGAACGTCTGCTACGAAGGCTACATACAGTGTGCGCAGAATGCAGTTTGCCACATTTCGCAGTTAATGAATGTCTTTAGTTTTCTAGACAAATCACCAGATATTGTGCTTATGAAAGCTGATAATTAAATGTCAAGAAATAATTGATGTTTTCATTCAAAACGACATTTTTTGCAAGGTAGTTACAAATTGCAGTTATGAATTATTTTCCACGTCATGATCCATTGCGTAGCAGGCCACTTCATAAGTTATTCCTGTTTATCGGCAAGGTCAAGTTCTACAACTTTTAGCACGAATACTACCCCCACTGCAAATTAGTTCTGAACTATATCATTCTTAGAGTAAGGAGGATGATAAAATAAGGAGGATGATAAAATGCCAGTGGTCAAGCCTCAAAATAATCAAAACATCTTTCATTTGACATCATTTGGAAGAGATTTTGCAGAGGTTGGCAAATCGTTTATTTCGCCTCCCCTGCCTCCCCTCCCCAACTATTTAAGACAKGATGTATTGATACTAAAAATAGTACACGGAAGATATAATAGCAAGGATAAAAGCACGATAGTCAGTTAGAAACTTCTATTACATGCAAACAACTTTCATCGCGGAAGAAGAAGTTGCTTAGTCTCGAGCACATTTAATTGATAAGATGCGTTACGGATTTATCAATAAAAATGGACCCTCCGAAGTCCCTCTGGAGAAGATACAAATCCAAAGCTCCCTCAAAGGTTTCACAGCCGAAGTGGTCGCGAYCATGGAGTACAAAAACAATTCTGATAATCCCATAGAAGCCATGTATGTSTTTCCAGTCGACGAGGAAGCTGCCGTGTGTGGATTCCAAGCCACTATTGATGGAAGAACTATCGTAGCTGAGATCCAAGAAAAGCAAGAAGCCCGAGATACGTACGACGATGCCATCAGTAGTGGACATWRKGCATTTCTACTGGAAGAGAGCGACGAGAGTTCGGACATCTTTCAGATCAATGTGGGAAACTTGCCGCCACACCAGTCCGCTAGCATTGAGCTGACGTTTGTGACTACCCTCAAAGTGGAGAAA